AAAGTTGCTAATGCAATCTTAAAATATGCTAGTCATGAAGGCAATAATTTCATTCCTGCAGCAAAAAAAAAAAAAATTATATAAAGCAAGCATCCTGGGCTTGTTATATTGTGCACAACTCTATAAGGATGCCTCCACTTTAGAAGCTGCTCAGTCTGAGTTTCCGAAAGCCCTACTCCGCGTCTCTGGCTCAACTTCAAATGCCCTTGTTTAGCTAGAGATTGGCTTCATTTCTCTTGGGGCACACCTGACCCTTTGGTATCTCAGATTTTGGCTGAAACAGTTTTTTGGAGGTGAGTCTCTGTTCCCCTCATCCTACATTATAGGTTTTCCTCATTGCTGAGGAGACAAATTGATTCCAATCTGGCATGTTGTGGCCCTCTCCCTTCTGGCAATATTTGTCACTCAGCCTAGATAAAGCCTTAATCAAACTTAAACAGAGGATTTGAGATTTAAATCTACAAAATGACAGGGCTAAAATTATTCATCCTTAATACAGCACAATTTCCATGGATGCTTTTTAGCTAACTGTGTAATATCCTACATATTCCACATAGATTTTTTTTTTTTTACCTTGGCTCGAGTTGGCACATTACCTGTTACGGAGACTATTGGGCAAAGATACTAGTATCCTGTACAATAATCGTGTGTGTCTGCCCAGATACAGAGGTTGAGTCAGTAATCTATGTATTGTTACAGTGCCCATTGTACCACTATGATGTCTGGCACTCATAAACCTGATTGTCAGAAATTTGTCTCTCTAATCAAGGAATTACAGCCTTCCTTCTGCAAGATCTAACTTGGATAACCACTATAAAGATTGCTAAGTTTCTAGCAATAGCTATGGCTGGCTGATATCCGCTTCTCATTATTAATTGTTTCAGGACTGGTTTTTCTGTGTTTTAAATTTTATACTTGTGCTTTGTTCTTGGACCATGAATAAATGATTTGATTTAATTTCATTTGGTTATATTTATTTGAAACTTCTCCATTGGCTACTAATTGCAGTTTATTATTTGTACTGGGTACTATACATTTTCCCATTCTCTTTTGTGACTAGATGGCATGATTGGAAAGAAAAAATAAGCTGCATTGCTGACACAACATGGAACAACCATTCACTGTGAGCTCCTTGGTAAGGATGAATGCTTTATAATGTAGGGAAAACTGCTGATCAGACAGCACGTCTGCTTAGCTTCTGTAGAACAAGCATTCTGTTCAAATTCAAATATGTCCTGAGATGCACTGATTCTCCAAATCTAGCGAAGGTGCATCTAAGTTAGTCTCACTTAGTGTATTATTCATAATGTTGTCCTTTTCTGATTTCCTGTGATACTTCTCAGTCTTAAGCTTACAGGTAGTTCTCACTTTAACGATGGTAATTGGGACCAGAATTTCCATTGCTAAATGACGTGGTTGTAAAGCTTTGTGCTGGAATTTCTGGCACTTCTGGTTGCTAGCGTTAAGTGAATCCTGCGCCGTTGTTAAGGGAGGATGTCATATGGTCACCATTTGCAACTTCTTGCTGGCTTCCCCGTTGACTTTGCTTGTATGAAGCTGACAAAGAAGGTCCCAAATGGCGATCATGTGACTGCGGGATGCTGCGACCAAGTACGAGGACCAGTCATAACTACCATTTGTTCAGTGCCATCATAAGTTTGAATGGTTGCTGAACAAGTGGTTGTTAAGCGAGGACCGCCTGTACTGTTAAATTACTCTAAAATGCACCCTTAAACTCTTAGGCTTTTCACTAAAAATCACAATATTAAAGGTTCAGTTAGATACAGTGGAAAATATGTGGGTGTTGCTGATATGGGGGGACATTGATTTTTTCCTCCTCTGTGTCCCAATACCTGGTGATACATGACGCATGGTCTGAACATTATCCCAGTGCGAATATTTCCCTTCCATTTCATTGCCTGCTGTTTGTGTGGGCAGACTAACTCTTAGTGTAGCAGTATTTCATCATGCATTGACACAGCTAGATATTTTCAAGGAAAGAAAGGGAATAGGAAGAAGAAGAGATATGAAGATGCTGTATTCAACAACAGTTCCTTATCCTTATGCCTTGTTTCAGCATGAATCATGTTTCATATCTCTCATACTCCTCTCTGTTAGGGAAAAATAGAACAGTTCACATTGATTTTAAAAGTAGTGCCTGAAAGGTTTATGATTCAGATGCATTTGCATAAGTGTAACATGAAAGAAACTAAAATAAAAAACAGGAATGCGACACAATGGGCATTATTTTTGTTACATGTCTGTAGCAATAAGTATCAAGGAAATTATGATGTTGATGTATATATGTGTGTCTGTGTGTATGCATGCACACAGTATTTTGCAGGGCTTTTGTAGAAACATAATGAAACTTCTTCTTAAAAGCAGGGGGTGCACCTTTTAATTGTAGCTCACAATTTCACTTGCATATCTTGACTAAAAGCATGCCTGAATAAAAGTCACCTGTCAAAACAAAATGCAATTTGTGATCTCTTTTAACAGAAAAAGCTAGCAGCTATTCCTGACCACACTGATATTTCCTTGAGCCCAGAAGAGCGTGTCCGTGCCTTAAGCAAGCTTGGCTGTAACATCACAATAAATGAAGACATTACACCACGACGCTACTTCAGATCTGGAGTAGAGATGGAGCGCATGGCTTCTGTCTATCTACAGGAAGGAAATCTTGAAAATGCCTTTGTTCTCTATAACAAGTTTATAACGTAAGGATTGGTCTCAGTTTATAAGCACATATTTTAATCTTTAGAAATTATATGTATTTTATTTATTACTCTGATGCAGTACCAGCAGACTGTACTGACTAGGACTCTGCAGTGCTTTGGATTCAGTTTCAGAAAGGTGTTTTGGAGCATGTAAGAAGCGTTAATTTGCAACTGCCTAGAAGCAATCACATCTTTTCCCATTATTCCATGGGAGCTGCAGAGAGCAGCAGAATAATCCCATGAAAAGATGCCACTGCTGAAGCTTTGCATAGTCTTATAATGACAGATCTAAATCTGGTAGCTACTAAATGATCATGAGTTAAATGTTACCATAAACTCGAGATCATTATCAAAACTCTGGATATGTTTGCTCTCTCCGCAGTTATAAAAAAAAAATCCCTGGGAAAATTCTTGGTTCCAATTCAGTCTTATTCGTTGGCTGTTGTGGGGGCATGGAAAGTCAAGCCGTGACTGCATCTAATATCCCTAGCCTCTGAGGAAAAAAGAGAAAAAAATATTAGAGAGTCAACTAGTGTTTGCTATACTTGAAGAGGGGAGAGGAATATGGTGAAAAGAGAGATTTTTGGTAAACATGGACATGCAAAAATACCTTCTGAAAGTGGCTTTGAGTATAATTTACAAGCCATTTCTTTCAGAAGCGTTCCACTAAAAAGAGTTCCACTGCACCATAATAAATAATATGATTCCAAATAATTATGCTTTATTTATTTATCACATGTATGTGCCACTGCCATCCGAAGACTCTTGGCTTATGCCTTCAAGGGACCAGTGCTTTGCATTGATGAGGTATTTCACAATTTGTATTATTAGGTGCAGGGGTAACACAGTGTGTATCTCCAAGGTGTTTCCCATCCATTCAGGGCCTCTTCTGGTGCTTCCAATTGCTGTGGTTGAGGTGGAAGACACTTCTGCCTATCCATCTTTTCCAGCTGCTCAAATGGCCAACTGAAGCTTTGGTGTAGCCATTTTGTTTTTAGAAGGGGGCGGGCACTTCCCTACCCTGAGCAGTTTCAGAGAGCCACATTGTGTCAACTTTCATGGTCGCAAAGTATCCCTTCAAAGCTCTGAATATTCTGTTTTGGTCTTCAGGCCTGAAGGACCCAACAGTAGAATAGCAGTGCTGTTAATTTAACCTTAAAGTTACAGAAAGCTTCTGTGAATGAAAAGAAAAAGAAAAAGAATGTTGCTTCTAGCCTCATTTATGCACTCTGCAGTTGTCTCAGTGGAAAAGCACTAGTATTGTTCATGAGACTTGCAAAGGGGTAACTGTGTGTTTTCCAGTTTATTTGTAGAAAAGCTGCCATGTCATCGAGACTACCAGCAATGTGCAGTTCCAGAGAAACAGGATATTATGAAGGTAGAATTTTTTTAAAAAAAATAAAGGGTCATCCAGGGGATTTCCCCCCCTCTTTTCAAAGAATGATTCATGACAGATAGACCCTGGCAGTGGTCTGAGGATGTGGTATGTTCTCATTAAGTCTTTTAGGGTACAAATTCAAGAGTCAGAATCAGTATTTGATGTTTGATCCTAGGCTCCAGCATGATGAATTGGGCTTTAAAAAAAGAGAGTTAGGGCCAAATCCTGAAGTCAGCAATCTATAATCTTAGGAATGTATCCCTAGTACCCAAAGATAGAATAGTTGCATATTCCTTGTGTTAATAACAGAGAAAGGATTAACCTGCTATTGAATGTCAACTTTATTGGGATAAGCACTCTGCAACTAAAGCTGTTTCACAGCATTGGGCCTATATATATGCTTTTAATTCAGTACTGTACTAGTGAACCATTCTAGTTGTAGGATTAAGCTGATTATTTGGCACATGAGGAAAGCAAAAGTATTTATATGTGTGTGTGTGTGTATAACACACATAACACACACAGATTGCATTTTATTTCTATTTTCTCTCTTCTTTTCTCTCTAACGAAGAAACTAAAAGATATAGCATTTCCAAGGACTGATGAACTGAAGAAAGACTTGTTAAAGAAATACAGCGCAGAATACCAGGAATATATGCAAGACAAGGTATTTTTTAATTTTAGCTATACAGATATGTATAAAATCTCTTTAATACATTCTCTGGATAGCCAAGGCAAAGCAAAATTGTAACTTTATGTGATGAACTGATACCATTCATTTTGATGTAGACAAAGTGGCTGCTTTTGCCTTTAAATGCCCAGGTGGTGGAGAAAGTTGATGTGGCTTTATCATCACCCTGCTAAAAAGTATCCAAGTGAAGAAAAAGGTAATGTAAGAAGCAAACATTTGTTATTAGATCTTGAAGCACAAACATGTTCCACTGAGGGATGCTAGTCCTTTTCTGTAATGGTGTGTGGGAATGACCGTGGGAGACAGGAGAAACAGCCACAGACTAGACAATAGTCAGATAAGAGGCGAGGCAGCTAAGTCCACAGAAGGAATGCGGGTTGGCAAATGTCTCAGAAGGGACCCTCCCTAGTTTCTTGGACTGAAAGGCAAGGGATGGCTGGGGTGGGGGGGAGAGATGTACTTTCAGACTTGCAAGATTCTGTTAATATAACCTTACAATAAAGATAGAGCTAATACTCCCAAGTGTGCTTCTTGTCTGGACTACTTTGCAAGGCTGATATTTCTTTCTTACACACGGGGATATCCTCAGAGGGAAGGGGGACAAAAAGCCAAGGGGGTAGGCACAGCTGTGTGGTCCAAGCCCTTCCTCTTCGTAGGTGCATGCATAAAGGGCTTGGATTGTGCAGATGTAACCAACGTCTTGGTTTTTTGTCACTTCCCATCTACTCCCCCCCCCACTTGCCCACTTGAGCTGATGATGACTGTCCCACTGCCAGCATAAGAGATAAGAGTACATACAATCCATAGCCATCTGACCGCTGCAAGGACTGCCTTATTCTGGCCAAAGAGATGGAAGAGTGTCAGCAGTTGTTGAAAATGCAGTGACTTCTTTTGCCATTCTTTGTGGCTGCGTTCCAGACAGAGGAACCAATTATATAATGGTCTTAAATACCTTTTTGGATCCTTATGTGGTTTTTGTTGCTGTTTGTAAATTAAAGCTGCTCTCCTTTACAGAGGCTGCTGAAATCCTGTGAAAATAATTACATTTTAAGTTGCCTAATAGTTCCATTGTTTATTTACAATTTAAAAATTTGTGCTACCCTTTAAAACTACATTTTTCCAGAACAATTTACGCTCCATTAAGTTAGAATTAGTCATTCAATCATCATTAAGACTGACAATAAAATGAACAAAAGCAGCAGCCAGAGCAGTTAAAAGTTTCTGTGCAGCACAATTATTAATAATTAACATATTGGTATAAATGTAAAGGCCTGAGAAAATAAAAATGTATTTTCTTGGTGCCAAAAACAAAGGAAGTCAATGCCAAGAATATCTTTTTGCTGAAGTATTCCAGAGACAGGGGGCTCACAGTCACTTATGAGTTCCTTGGAGTTAATGCTTATATTTACTAGAAGTAATTGTATATGGCTTTGTAACCTAAACCATTATATTGGCCTAGTAAGATTCTTGTACTCCTTTTTGTTATATGGAGATTTCTGCCAACCCTAAAATCTTACAAGTTAAGCTATGTAATGAGTATAAAATATGCAGAAAGAAACAACTTCTTCTAGATGCACGTGTAAATAGCAAAATATATTTTCTTGTGGCCCTTTTTGTATGAATAAGAATAACTTTCTAAAATGCAATGTAACTCTTCAGGTTTATTGATTTAATTAAGTGAGGTGGTAGTCCTTTCCCGATATACCAGTCTAGTCTGTATCTGTGACATAAGTTTTTGTTTTCATTTCCCAGATTCAAACTACAAATGATGATGGCAAACTTTTGGGTGAACTAATTAACCTAGCAAAACGGGGGGTGGAAGGGTGAGCAAATAATTATTCAGACATGAGAGTGGTATTGAATTCTAGAATCTGCTATTGAGACTTCAATAATCAGAATAAACCTAGCTGAAGAAAATCTCTAGGCAGAAGAATGAATCATCTTCCCCACCCATACCCTTTGCTTTTAAAATCTGTTTCAGGTGTGTATAGAAACTGGGTCCTTTAGCCTTCCAGATGTTCCTGACTTAGAGCTGTTAGCAGTCTGCACCTTGGCCATGCTGGCTGGGGCTGCTGGAGATGCCAACATCTGGAGAGTGATGTTGCATTACTTTCCATCATTTTCTTGGTAGATGGAGCAGATATTAAAATACTCAGATCTGTTATGCTTCATGTTGTTTAAGCGCATTAGACCTTCTCATCTGGATTAACCCCATTTCAGCTGATGACCTGTTCATTTAATGTGTTCTGTTTTCCAGAACAAATGCAAAGCTGAGTTATTGAAGAAAATAGAGCAACAGAAATTGATTGAAGCAGAAAAGAAGCGGATTGCACAGATCCGTCAACAGCAACTGGAAACAGAACAGTTTCAGTTCTTTGAAGATCAATTAAAGAAACAAGAATTAGCTCGTGGTCAGAAAATTAAGGATAACTCAGTTACATCAGAGCCAACAGATAGGAGCATGTTGTCATCATGCATTTCAGCACACCTGAACAATACTTTCCCCAGAACAGTAGCAAATAAAAGTGATGTTTCTGCTGGTCAGTCTCCTCCAGTCAGTCGGGCCTTAAAGCCAGCTGCTACCTTAAGTGCCGTTCAGAGTAAGAAAGTACATTTGTTGTTCTTGTTTACCTTCTGTGTTTTTGCATGGATAGGATTTAGAGCTCACTAAATGGCTTTTGGATGTATTTACAAAATATACATTTCTTAATACGTGTGGTTTGCCATGAAGCAAGAGAAGCTGCATCAGGCACAAAAAACAATGGTGGTTTTGATCAGGACAAGTCAGATGCAGAGTCTCTGAACACTGAAGCACCCTCTCTAAAGCAGCACATTGTCTGCTGAATGCTTTTCAGATTAGGTTATATGAGAACATTTCACACTGTAGACGTCTTGGTAAATGTCACTCTCGTTCTCTTTGTTAGACAACGCTGCTGAAGGACTGCGAAATGTGGTTCTGCCCAGTGATCTTTGTCACAAATTTTTGCTGCTCGCAGATGCAAATACAGCAAGAGGAATAGAGACGTGTGGCATTCTCTGTGGAAAACTGGTACAATAAAACCTTCACATTTATATGGGAAAGGCACTTTTAATGGTACTCTGTTTAACCGGAATGAACCGACAACAAGAGCAGATCTGAAGCATAAGCGTGCTGTGTAATAGCTGATTTTATTGAAGAGCTGTGAGGGTCTCTTCAGAAAATCTTATTGCACTGTGATCTGCTGTTTGCTGCTTTACTGCAAAATAGTTTATCTTAGACACTGGAAAGCCTGTAATGTTATTAAGCTATCTTCCTGCTGCCTCCAGCTTCCTTTTTATGATTCTGCACTGCGTTTCTCTAGTTTTTGTGAAATTTTATTACAAGCAAAGTGATATTAAATATAGTGATCATGATTGATGTGTTATATCAGATTCTTGGGAAGGAGGGACGAAAAGCTTCTGACAAATATCACTTGGATATTAGCATTTAGATTTTGTTTGCTGTTGAATAATGTTTCTATCATTAGGGTGGATCTTTGCACCATAGCAAAGAGAACAATTATCTATTAGTCTTGATTTTGTAAAACTTTCAGGCTGGGATCAACCTATCTGTCACAGGAACTGATATAAGAGGAAGAACAGCTCAGAGCATGTCAACAATTCAATATCTTTTACTTGTTGGTTAAAGAACTATTTGCATCTATGAAATTTTAGTATTGTGGTAGTTTAGAATACAATGTAATAATTTCCTCCTGCAGCCTGAAACTATCTTGGGGGGCCAGTCATTACCTCATGAAGTTAATTTGAGCCAATAGTTGACATGATAAATCTGAGCTTGACCTCACGGTTGATGCCATGCCTGATTCCACATGTAACACCGAATTGGGGACACATCTGGGCACTAGGAAAGTATCCCATTAGGAATAAATCTGTCCATTTTAAAATTTACTTTATTTCCACTATTTCTTTACCACCATTGCATATCTCTAGGTGATTTACAGATAATGGAAACAATTAAAAACCATAAACGTAATAACTCTCAAAAATTAAGTAAAATATAAAATAGCCCACTGCCAACTGGGTAGGAAGGAAAGCATAGATGTTAGGCTCCAGACACCTGTTGAAAAAGACATGTTTCTACCAGTTTATGAAAAATATCTAAAATAGGGGCTAGCTGGATCTTGGGAATAGGGAGCGTGTTCCAGAGGATCAGAGTTGAGTGGCCTCTAAGTGGTCCAAAATCCCTATAGACACAGTCCTAGGAACCACATAATGACTATAATACAGTCATGGTCTCAAACTTTAACACTGCAAAGATTTAATTGCCTTCCCCTATGATGAATTTATTTGAACCCTTCAGGAGTTTGAGGCATGAAAAACTTCCAAAGCTCTAAATGTCATGACTTGTTTCTTTGACATATGTGACATTCTTTGACATTCTTTGTCGTATGTGTTTGCGATGAGCTGTTCTCTTCATAAAGATCATAACGTTGGCTTTTTTTTATAATCAATGACCAGATCCTTATCTGAACAGAAGGAGGCAGCAGTTCTAAATGTTCTCCTTAGTCCAGAAAGAGAAGTTGAGAATATTGCTGCGGTTTCACATTATAGGGGCACTAAAACAGCCCTATTGGGCATCAATAGACCAGTGTAAAAAAACTGAATGATATTGCAGACCAAATGCAGTGTTTTACACAAAGATGTGCAAAATATTTTGAACTGAACCATTTTGAATTTGAAACACCCCAACTGTGAGTGTAAAGTGCCCTATTTTGAATGAAAAGTAGCTGTCTTGAGATTAAAACAGTAATTTTATGTGTTTTGAACAAGTTGTGTTTTACACTCAGAACAGAGCTGTTTTGCTAAAAAAAACCTCCTAAGGCATGCAAAGCAGTCTATCATGCGTTCAGAGCAGTTGTTTTGCATCTGAAATGGGATATTCGGAATTCAAAAATGTTTACCGCAAAACACTGTGCACTTCTACTTTAAACCACTGAACTGCTTTTATGAGATTTTAAGGAGTTATATTTGATTTTTTGCAGTTATCCACCTTATGTATTCTGGGTAGGAAAATAGGATTTAAATAGTAAGAATAAATAAGGAAATAATAGTGCTTATTTAAAAAAATAGTATTTATCTCCCAGCTTTACAAGAGAATAGATGCATATCCTTCAACAGACTTCAGTACATGACGATATACTATAACTATATAAATAAATAAGAAAGAAAGTTTTATGGTAGGCCTCAAGATTTATTCCTGGAATTCCCAAGTAGTGATGGTAAACATTTGTGTCATCAATCAGTCAGTACTGAACTAGAGACACCAATGATCTGAAATGGATAAAAGTAAGGCAGTTTCTAATATTTTTTCTCTGTAACATCTCTGTATGCAATATATAGAGCCTCCCTAGAACAGGAACCTTCCATGGGGGAAAGCAATTCCTGTTTTACCTGTTGCTTTGATGATTCTTTGGCATCAATTGATGTACACGAGCACAGCTTCTGTGGAATAAATAGTTAAAAAAATTGGTTGATGCCAGTGCTGGTTCTTGGGATTGAAGTCCAAAAGCTATCTTCTTGTGCTTGTGTCTTACAGACTCATAATGAATTCACTATTACTCATGTAATCGTACCAAAACAGTCTGCAGGACCAGACTACTGTGACATGGAGAATGTAGAAGAGCTATTCGGTGTTCAAGACCAACATGATCTTCTCACGCTGGGCTGGATCCATGTAGGTAGAGATAAATATGCTGTGATAGACCGTAGACATTCTTTGCAGCAGGAGGAAAGGGCACTTCTTCCAGTGTAAAGTTGCATTCTCCTTAAGCTAATGTTTGGGGCTGTATGCCGTTGGTAGGAGGGCTGAGTAGACCAGATGAATTTTCTTTCTCATGCAGATGTACTTCTGCATTTTTACATACATACACAAAGCACACCTTTGCTTTCTTATATGCATACGTACATTCTAACACATGACATAGATTGGATTTGGGGGAATAGGTTGCACCATGAAGAAGGAAGAACTGCACCCTTTCTTCACTCAGAAGTGTCTCCCGTGACACAAGTGGGCTTGAGAAAGTTTTATATTGAAAAGTGTTGTCCAGATAAGATCACTCCAGAAGAAGAAAAGATGTGAGTTGTGGAGTGAGGGAGGAGAGGTCAGTTTAGGAGGATGCTGTGGTCCAGATCAAAGATGTTCCAATCCAGTATTAGAGAAACAATATTCCTGTGACCTATTTAAAGATATTGTTCAAGTAAGCATTTGGTGTTTGCCTTTCCCTTTTTCCTTAAATCCCAGTCGATTCTTTTAAAACCAGGTACTTATTCTTGGGAAGTGGCTTTGAGACTGGCAGAAGAACTTGCTGACTTAGGTGGAGCTCCTTTCAGCTACCACAACGTGGAAAACTGCCCTAGGTCAATACGAAAGAGAACATTTTTCCATGTTACGTCAGTGTTGATTTGATGGTGTTTTGGTTTTATTCCAGCTGCCAATTATGTACTTATTGTTGATGTTGTTTTTAACTGTTGATAGATGCCCAGAGTCATGTTTTTGAGATAATGAAATAAATAATTATGTATTTATTTTTTAATAATTTTCATTTATTTATTAATATTTATTTAATAAATAATAGATGGGTGCAGCTAATTCTGACTTCTTCCTACTGTATCTGTAAAACAGAATAAAAGTCACATGCTATATAAAAGTTTGCCTTTCTCTGCAGTCCCATCCAACCCAGACTGCATTCTTATCCAGTGTTGATCTTCACACACATTGTTCTTATCAGCTGATGCTTCCAGAGGCCATTGCAATCGTTTGTTCACCAAAACATAATGAGTGAGTTTGAGCTTCCTTTTCCATCCTCAATAATATTAAGATACTTAGTTTATCGTGTCTGTTAACGTCAACTATAAAACGTTCAAGAAGGCAAGGCGAAAAAAATGTTGAAATACTTATTGTTTGAGTAAATATACCTTTACAGGTATATTTTTAGAAGCGAATTTAATTCTTGCTTTCTTTCTGCTATTTCCTTCTGCTATTTCTATGCCTTGCAACATTGATCTCTCTTTGTTTTGTTAAACCTGAACAAAGTTCAGGTACTCAGGTACTCAGATCCCATGTCTCACATTTTTAGTCTTTGAAAAAAATATTAGGGGTAGTTGCACAGACATAGGGGTTTAATGATCTCTTCCTACTCCGTCTTGGACCATAGAAGGAACACCTCTGTGAATCCTGTTCTGTGCTCCAGCCCGTGTTAGCATGGCCCAGAAATATCTCATTAACTGGTAGTGATTCTTGTGTGTTTGTGGTACTTCTCTAGTCTTTTTTTCTGAGGTCCTTTTATATTAAAAGTGCCAGGGATTTATCTCTTTCATGTAACATGCAATGTATTTACCCTTGATTAAATAATTAAACTACAAAGCATATGATCAATCAAATGAAATTATTTTTGGTTGGTTTTTCAAAAGTTGGATATTATTTTACTTGTCATTTTAACATTTTTGCTGAAGCAGTAAAACTGCTGTAGACCTATGGCCCAATATTTCTGGTAACACTTAAATCATATATGATGCAACTGTGTTATAGAAATGACTCTCTTAATTCAGGGAGAGAGTTTATCTTTGCAAGGAAGCCTCTCAGCGTGAGAAGGGAAGTTATTCTGAGCATTAGGCAGTGTTTGACTGTCATAATATTGTAGCAACAGCTTTATCAACAAGGTGACTCTTAATTAATTTTCATTAAGTGACTTATGCTGTTGAGTATGTGACTTCTCTCAGTACTATGTGGTGTCTCTCCATTTAGTAGCCAGCTGTGAATTTAATTAAAACACACTTCAGGCAAACTCCATGAACCTCCTGAATTCCTTGTGCAACTGAGATCAACATTATGTGCTATAAACAAATTGTTGGGTTTGAATTGCTTTCCTAGACCTAATCTTTCTTTTATTTTCTAGGATGGGAATCTTCAGACTTACTAATGCTGGCATGTTGGAAGTTTCTGCTTGTAAAAAGAAGGGCTTTCACCCTCATACCAAGGACCCTAGGCTATTTAATGTAAGGATAGCACATTAATTTCCAACATTCTGTATACACACTGCATTATTATTAAAATATGTGTGAATACGAGCGTAATTGCTTAAAATTTGTCTTCTCCAATCTGGTGCATCCAGATGGTCCAATTCATATTATCACCAGCCAGCTCAGAGAAATTTGGTTTAGATTTTGGCAGGAGGAGTTGAAAAGAATGGCACCAGGAACAAGATTAGTCCAGCAATACATAGATGTGTGTTGAAGGTTGGTCATTTCATACGTCAGTTTATCTGTTCATTTGGAAAGGAGGGGAAAGTTGCAAACTGGGGCAAATTCAAACCTTCCTGCAGTGAAGAGTTCAGCAATTCTGCAAAAACAGCTGAAAGGCTGTTTTTCCTTGTAGAAAGGGTGAGGGGAGCAGTGTTCAGATGCCGGATGTGAAAATTAAAGTGGGACATGCTAACTTGCTATAGTAGCTGTCCCCAGCCCAGCACCTTCCAGATATTTTGCACTGCAGTCCTCAGAATTCAGATTTTGCTAGCAAGTTGGTCTGAGGACCTTTTCCCCACTATTCCTCTCTCATTCATATTCTAAGCTTCTGTAAAGGTAAAAGTCAAATCAACTGTTCAGAATGAAAATGTAAGAATGCCTCTGGAAGAAGATATACTGTATTAGAAAATAACATTATTCCCAGGATTGTTTGATGTGTATGTGGGGAGAGGGGAATGTCGGTTTCCATATAATAATTAAGATATATATTTAATAAATATTTATCCATTTTCAAAGTCAAGTTACTTCCCCTAGTGGTTTAGATTTTGGCAGGAGGAGTTGAAAAGAATGGCACCAGGAACAAGATTAGTCCAACAATACATAGATGTGTAGGCTGGTCATTTCATACGTCAGTTTATCTGTTCATTTGGAAAGGAGGGGAAAGTTGCAAACTGGGGCAAATTCAAACCTTCCTGCAGTGAAGGAAGACTTCACTTAGAAACCAAGACTGGATGACACCCATTTGTCCCATGAAACTATTTACATTGTCCTAGTGAAAGAGTAAATTACCTTCTTACATCCCAATGTCCTTGTGTTTTTTATGGAGAAAGATAATCAGAAGAACTAGCTGTGTTAAATCATGGATACCAACAAACCAGATGAACAATATGGTTAGGCTTACATGACCAGAAGTCTGGGAAATAGGTAGCAGTGCCTAGATAATGTTGGCTGATCTCAAAAAAACTAAACAAGGTCAGACCAGGTTAGAACTGCCCAGAGTTACTTTTTGTGAGATGAGTGGCCATATAAATGTGATTAATAAACAAATAAATAAACAAACTTGAACAGGAAGTCTCCAGGAAATTTCAGTTTATCAAGTTGAGTTTTAAAAAATCCCAGAATCTAATAATGGCAAATCACTTTCATACTTCTGTCAAGAAAGTTACATAGATGTGTGCATGAAATCACCAGGAGTCTAGCTTGACTCAAGAGAATCTTTACCTTATCCAGAAGGAAGAAAGAACAGAGTGTGGTTGGGTTGGGAATATGCCCTTCAGTGTCCTAATTGGATCACAGCTTCAGGGCAACCCTTACCCTCAGATGAATATCCTAGTGAAATAATTCCAAATTTCCCTTAAATTGTTGCAGATTTAAGTTATATGATTTTGCAGCAGCTGTCTCATGACAGATAATCTCTGATTAATCTGGTGTTTTCTTTTGCAGATCTGCAAACATGTCATTGGAAAAGAGATAAAAATAACTGTACTGGATCTGAGGTGATAGAGATAGAAGAACGCCTTCCGTAAAACATAAGGCCAAAGGGGAACAAAGCTGCCAGGTTTTCCTAGTGTTTTCCAAGTTACTGACATTTTATATTTGTATGTTTTAAATTTAACGGTTTGATATTTATTGCCCTTTTCCCATTTTGAAGTTATTTTGTTGTACGGTCAAAATGAAGTTCACAGTGGCATTCAATCCAGGTATGTTATTTTATTGGAATAATATGATAATAAAGTGAACTTGACACAATGACAGTCTTGGCCCCTTTGCAAAATTTCTCTCTCTCTCTTGTTTTTCCTCTGGAGTATATGATTGTTTTCCTGTCCTCTAGGTATTCAGGGGTGTGTAAGTGTGGCATGTGAATGTTTACAGCATATTTGAAAATACAGTAGATATTATGTAGAGTGTGAAATATGGAATGAGAACAGAACAGCCAATAGGAGCAAAACAGATTCTGCTGAGAAACACACAGAGAGCCTGTGCTCAGATGAACATAGTGAACTATGAATGTGTGAGCTCACAAACACCAGCTCCTTCTAGTCAACTAGCTTCAGTTCCAAACAGCTGCTACTGCATTATTCAAGGGCCAGTGTTGTCTTCCTATAAATTCACTGTAGAAGAAAGAAACTTAAAATAGTTCTGATTTATCTGAGTAACAGAAAGTAGAAGTCAAAGGATATGGGGAACAGAAAACTATGTAGGTATAACCAGGAGAAAAGAAAGTAACAGCCCACAATTCTATCATCAGTTATCCATCAGATATAATCAGTGTCCATCTAAGTCTTAAATATAAAAATAGCGGTTCTTTTTGTGTGTTCTCCAACAGATGGTTAAAATAAGTACAAACTACCCTTGATCATCAAGATTCACTTTTTGCACTATCCATAGAACTGTAATGCAAATATTGGCTAGTGTAGTGTTGATCAGCTGTGTCTCACTCTTCTTCCAGAGGAGAAGGAATACTATTTACTCCAAGTAGAGTATGAAAAAGTTGAGGTTTATTAATAAAAATTCAAAGCACCTGAAAAGCATGTTTACAATTTATTCTTTCCTCCTCTGCCCCCTAAAAACTTCAAATACACCTTATTGAAAACACAGCTAATTGTTAAGGGAGGTATTTGGGATAGGTTGATAAGAATATTTTTCACAGAAGGGGAGGCAACTCAGAAGCATTTGCGGTGAACAATAGAAGGTCCAGCTTCATCATACTCTGGTTTGCTGATCCACATCTGCTGGAAGGTGGAAAGAGAAGCAAGGATAGATCCCCCAATCCAGACTGAATACTTGCGCTCAGGTGGAGCAATAATCTGAAGAAAAAAGATTGAAATGATCTGGTTAAACCACTTCAGGCAGAGATAATACAAATTATGCATATCCCAGTTTTCACTGAAAGCAAGCCTTTTTTTTTTTTTTTTTGCAAAACTGGTAACAGAGACTTCATGTCTGTTATTAGGTATCTAACCCAAGCAAGTGTGGTTATTCTTGATGGTGCTGCACATCTGAGGGTGAGATTACACAAATCATTTTGGACAGAAAAAAAGCTATACTTGGTTACTTTAGATTCTTGCAAAAGCTATCAACTCTGGTTTCACTTCTATTTTTAAAAGCAATGTAATCTGTGCATAGATTTTCTGTTAAAATTGGAACCTTTTTCATGAGGTTCACTATGATAGATAAAGAAATATGATGGGTACTTTAAAAAGAATGATCCTGAGAAGTAAAATCCAGTCACTACTGGTGTGATGGATCTCCTTAAAGGAACTTTCTTTCTCCATCTCCTACCTTTTCAACTAAGGAATTCAGAATAGGATTGTGAATTTAATTAATCCCAATGAAATGATTAAAAAACAGTCCCACTGATGCTTAATTTTGATTTTTAAAATATTAAATTAAACCCAAATGTACTAATTTCAATTTGTAATTCTTTCACATTTATTTTCATTCAGATTTCTTTTGCTGGAATATTACTGCTTTGCACTGCATTTTGTTAGTATTTTCATTGACTTGTATGTGAGTGAATGTTGCTACATCCCCCGGCTACTGAGAGATAGTCCATCTCATGCCAAAGATCCTTGGGACCAATTTACTCAAAGCAAGACAAGATAAAATAAAAGGATCCCCCCACAAAGGAAAGTAAAAATAATTTTAAATTCTAAAATCAAATCAAACAAAAAATACATTTCTAATACACATTCCTAATTCAGATATAGAACTAGGAAAAATGTTTGGTATGGGTTTTGTTTTTTGGTTTTGTTTTGTTTTTCTGTGCCTTCAAGTCAGTGTGGACTCCCAGATATTGCTGAACTACAATTCTTAGGAGTCCTAGCCAGCAGGGCTAGCAGTGAGGATGTTCAGAGCTGTGGTCCATCCACATCTGGAACACAGCAGGTTCCTCATCCCTAAGAACCCTGACATATCGTGTAAATATAATTAGCCATCTCTGGCACTATGAATTACGTAGAGATCAATAAAACAATACCTTTATTTTCATAGTACTGGGAGCCAAGGCAGTGATCTCCTTTTGCATACGATCTGCAATGCCAGGATACATTGTGGTCCCACCAGATAGGACATTGTTTGCATAAAGGTCCTTTCTGATATCTATGTCACACTTCATGATGCTGTTGTAGGTGGTTTCATGAATGCCAGCAGATTCCATGCCTGATGAGGATTTCAAAAGGAACACTTATTAAATATTCTTAAATAAGGGATTAAACCTGTTAAATCCTTTGATCTGCCACCCCAAAATGATTTACAATCAAATGTTGAAAGAATTTATAACCTTTTACAAATAAAGCAAGCAGAATCAGAACTAACATTGCATGGAAAGTACAGGTAGATTTATACATTTAAGAAAGTTGCATGATGCACTGAGTATTCAGAAGTCTGGATGAACAAGTTGCCTTTTTTCATAGATGTCAAAGTGCAGTCCAGTTAGATGACAAATGTGCAATGCAAAGATGACTTCAAAATCTTTAAGTGTCACAATCAAGGGCCTTATCCAGTTGGCTTCCAGAGATCTTAAAATATGATGTCAGATTGAACATAAATGATGCTATAATGGAACTCATTCAGAATTACTGTTGTTTCAAACCCAACATCTAGACAATATAAGGTTATTATAGGTTTGTTTAGGGGTTAGGGTTACATCTTACAGCCAGGGGAAAAAAGTTATTGCAACGGCCATGCTTGGTGTTTTTAAAATGTGTGCTTTATAAAAGAAATGACTGCACTGAAAGAAAAGTAGAGACGTTGTTGATTGTCAATTTACATATTAAGTATTCCTTATACACTTACTGAAATTGTCTTTTAACACAAAAATAAACGCAGCTGCTACATCCCTATTTGATTCTTAATCGAAAAACCAATTCCAAACTATATTGCCTACAGTAACATTTCTTTTCCCTAAGGCAACAAGAATACTTTAGTTCAAGTTTGCATTATTTTGTACGTCATCATGACCAGTAAATGGCCATCATTCATGCTTGTAGCACACTTGATGGAAAATTCAGCTTTCTGCCTTGTCATGTGCACAATGTCTCATCACGTTGAACATACAGACTAACCAAGTAAAAACTGAAGGGATGGCTAATCTATATATATTGTATAAACCTAGATTAGAGCCAATATGGTGTAGTAGTTAAGGCATCAGGCTAGAAACCAGGAGTCCTACCTTAGGCCCAGGAGCTAGCTGGGTGACCTTGGATCAGTCACTTTCTCTCAGCCCTAGGAAGAAGGCAGTGGCAAACTACTTCCAAAATCTTGCCGAGAAAACTGCAGGGTCTAGTCTAGGCAGTCAGGAGCCAACATTGACTCAAAGCGCACACACACACATACCCCAAAAAACCACACAAAACCAGACCTAGATTAGGGGTTGGGAACCTGTAGATTATCAGATGTTGGACTACCTCTCCCATCATCCCTGATCATTGATCAGGTTGGTTGGTTGAATTGGAGCTGGAGTCCAAAAGTATCTGGAAAAGGTTCCCCAACTGCATGATAGAATACAGATGAAGTGGGTATTGCCTTTTAAGGAACAGCAGCTATATTTTATATTGGTATATAAACTAATTGTCCAAGAAACACTACATATCAACCTACCAATGAAAGAGGGTTGAAAGAGGGTCTCTGGGCAACGGAAACGCTCATTCCCTATAGTAATCACCTGACCATCAGGCAACTCATAGCTTTTCTCTAAGGACGATGAAGAAGCAGCAGTGGCCATCTCATTTTCAAAATCCAGAGCAACGTAACAGAGTTTCTCCTTGATGTCACGGACAATTTCACGCTCGGCTGTAGATGAAATTTGAAGAAGAGATGTCTGCGTGAACTCCTTGTCCATCAGATACAAGAAGAAATGCAGACTCGTGGTGTTTGCTTTAGTTATAGTTTAATATTTATGCTAATTGAAAAGAAATATTTTAAACCAATTCAATGTTCAGCACTTATCATAAATGTATTACCCAACAAATATTCTGAATTTGCCAAAGATTTTTAATTTTGCTTTAATTTGTCAAAATTGATCATTCTAGATAGGCTTGTCTAACTTCAGGAACTGGCAGTTTGGAAAGTAAAACCTGTACTATGTATTATGTTGCAGCCAAAGTATTTTGATTTCCGTATTTAAAAGGAAAAAGGGAAAAATAGATTTCCTATCAAATTTAAATGTTTCAGAATTTAAATATAAGCAGTATTTTTCATTCAGCTTTTTTGGGTGGGGGATGTATATTTGCACATTCTGCCCTATGCACTAAAGAAGACTTCCTCATTGCAGGGCTAGGAGCTAAATGTGTAATGGGAGCACAGAATACATTCAACATCTTGTGCAATGGAATTCCCCTTCTTCCTCCCACTTCCTTGAACCACCAAACTGCTCTATGAGGTTCTCCTAAGCCCTGTAATTGGTGTGCAGAAGTGCAAAGATAATAAGGAATCCATTCTGCTAGGATAGACATTATTGATAACAACCCCCTATGAATGTGGATCCCTAGTTCAGAGCCCATAAGATGCAGAAGGGATTGTCTATACAGTTCTGATATTGCACACACAGTGGCCATTGGCTAGTAGACAATGATTCAGATGTAAGGATACTTAGCTTAGCAATACAATTTCTCATCCAGTGCCAAAGTGTTCAAATTATAATTTGAATTACTATTTGCACAAAATAATTTGTTGCATCTGAATAGGAGCCAATTTCTGCTCCACTTTTTTCAAACTGTAAGTAAGGGCTTGTCCTGAGTTTTCTGAGAAACTAGCTATAGGTTTGTCAAGAGAACATTATAAAAGACAACACATTTTCTTTTAAGAAAATTTGGCACAAACTATAGATACCCCTATACGATGAACCAATTCAGCAGTCAGTCTGTATTCGGATCTGCCAACAACAGTCCATTTGAACTGAATCTATATTTTAGGTCACCCTTTGAAATGTTGACAATATATAGCAATTTTTTAATCAGAAAAATGTGTAGATTGGATTCTTTGAGAGAATATTTGAAAATAATTTGTTTTATACGTGGACTAGGAGGATACATAGCTATATGTCAGTGAAGATCATATGTAATTTCCTTACCAGTAGTAACAAATGAGTAGCCACGTTCTGTCAAGATTTTCATGAGGTAGTCAGTAAGATCACGGCCAGCCAGGTCCAGGCGCATGATGGCATGGGGCAGAGCATAGCCTTCATAGATTGGCACATTGTGGGTGACACCATCACCAGAGTCAAGCACAATCCCTTGAGGTAACACAAAACAGGTTTTGACTGACTTCAAGCCAACTCACTCTCCTTCACATTCTGAAGACCCAAAGCAGAATCACTTTCTGTGATGGAATGGTGTTATGAAGGCCACGCTCACGGTGATAAGCGTTTCCTTAACCCCCAACAGGAGCGTGGGAAGTTTAAGATGAGACTGGCACCACCCTAAGGAATTCATGGTGTTGTGGCTTGCTGGCTTGGGAACTTAGGTTCAGTCTGGAGAGATTTTTGTCTTGAGGTGGAAGCTAATAAACACAACAGAACTACATTTGCACTGTCTCGTGGAGTTCTTTGGGCTGAGCCTGACACTTTCTTACCTGTTGTACGTCCAGA